TTTTACTTTCAACTTTCAATGCCTAGCCCCAACTTCTCAAACCCTAACCCCTATTGTTCTCAAAAACCCCACCTTCCCCAGAAATCCACTTCTCAAGCCATGCCTGTTATTAACTCCTATTTTTCTCTGAATCCCCGACTTTCAGCAGGCTGTCAATTTTTGTTGCTCAGAACATGTTTTTTTTTTATAACTAAACCAATTATTGACTGTATCTTTTAGTACCATGTTAGTTGCCACAAAGATTACTTCGACACTTAACTAAAGACGAGTATTACTGGGTAGCCCCGTACCCGGCTTGGGCCGAATATCTGGCCGGGTACCCATGCATCCCTAATAATATTGTTTTTCTGTATCTTATTGGTGAAAACACAGAATATATGAAAACAAATTTTGTCCACTTTATTCCTCAAGTTTTATATATTATATTAGTTTTTAGTTTTCTGAACAAGGCAGTTTGTACTGTCAGCAAAAAAAAAAAGTATTATGATGAAAAGAAGTCAGAAACAAAATCTAATAATTGCTTGGTGATGGAAAAGAGATCTACATGAAGTATAAAATTTGTTTTTAAACATCCTTCCCAAATATTAGCCCTCTCAAATTTATGACTAATAGTGACTGACAAAATGGGTTTTGTTTTTTTATGTACTTTCAGGATAGTTTCTTAGTTACTGTAAGACTGAAGTGGGAAGTAAAATGAATGATTATCAATGATTAATTAATTTATGGATTCTTAGACAAGTAACCAAAAATTCAATGGCATAGAATAACATAATAAAATACAACTACTTTTAAGCCTACATACTTTAAGTAAATCACAAGACAAGAGACCTAGAAGGGAGAACTTCTTGGTTTGAAGACTGATAATTCTATGTCAGACAGTTTTGGATGTAGAATGTAGCATTAGTATTTGAGGAATGATCATATCAGTCAGAAAACATATATATATATATATCTTATTTGAAATAATATTTTTGCTACTTTATTTTCACAAAAAGCATTTTCACTGTTTTACACAATTGCTGGTAAATCAAGAGGAAAGTTTGTGTAAAGTGACATTCAGGCTTAATACACATGTTGTGGGCAAGAGTAAATAACGAGTTTTGTACAAAATATTTTTGATCTGAAGAGGAGGGATATATTGTTTTATTTTTACCAGAAACTCCTCCTCTTGTATATGAAGGCCTCAAGAAGATGGGATATGACAGTTTCAGGCCTGGACAAGAGAAAGCCATTATGAGAATCTTGTGTGGTAAGTTGATGGATCAGATGTCATGTACCTAAACATGTAATAGCTTGTTCTGTTTATTATATCCTACAGTTACAGTTATTTATTAACCATGCAATTAATAGATTAAATTGTTGGCTGTATTTTACAGATGTTGATAATCCTCTTGCTACAGGTAGGTCAAAGTGGTCATGTCACAACCTTTTACAGGGTTGCGTTCAAAATTTAATTAAACTACTTTATTAACATTATACATGAATACATGTGGCATCATAACAAAGCTGGTCAATCAAATTTTAATATCATATAAGTTTTAAGTTCTTAAATTTGTAATTTCTTAATTTTCAATCTTCCCTAGTATGAGAATCATGACAATTGTTCTTTAGTTCTTCACTTTAATTTATTTACCATCCCTCTCTGAAGTAGGGAACATAACATAAATATGATATAGATATTGTTAAAGCAAATTCTGATTTTCATAGCCTTCAACTTTTTGTTTGCAAATTCATAATCTAGAAAATCAGACCCATTTTCCATGCCCACCTGTCACAAATTGCCAATAATTCTTTCTGACATTTTATACAATATCATTTATAACCAATAGAAAGGCAAAGTTATAATCCATCAAATGACGTATAATGCTATATTGTTTTCAGTATGTAACATTGTCAGTTTTGTCTTCAGTTTGAAAGTTTATATCGTGGTGTTTAGATCGAGCAGCAAAGGGAATTAGTTTAAGCCCTTCATGTCCTAGTTAGAAAGCCAGTTAAATTTCAATAGTTAAAGTACATTGTCTGCTTTGTGTGTGTTGTTATTCTGTGTTCTTAGGTGCATTATTTAACTAAATAAAAATTATTTAGTGTACTAGTACCATCATTAATAAAAAAAAAAAGAAGTAGTTTTAAATTCCATTGCAACTGACTGCAAAAACAAAACAAGAGGTCAAAGGTGAGTACTATATTTCTTGGTTTTCATGTATGTTCTTTATTTATGGTTGTAAAAGTAATTCAGATGTAAAAATTAGAAACTTAATAGGTTAGATTAGGTAAGGTAATGAAAAACAATAATAATAAAAATTCATCATGAGGTATGATCCTGTGCAGCTCATGTGCTACATCATTCAATACAGTAATGTGAGCTACACATTTGCCAAGTGATTTAGAACTTGCATGGTGGTATTATTAGTTAGATACGGTTTGAATGGTAATAAAATTAAGTGTAAACAGATGTAGTCTGCTACGAGCCTTACGCTATTTATGATAAATAGTTCTTGCTTTCTGTTATAATATGCGGTCATTTTAGAGGGGGAAAAAAAAGATAATTTAGATTTATTTTATATTTCTTTATGGTGGTTACAAAGGCAAACAAATTGACCAAGTCCATATAAAGTTAGGGTAGAGAAAATAACAGATAAAGATTTACTGAAAGAAAAAGGTTTGATATTTATTTAAGAATTTTAATGAAATTTAAATTTTTAAGATGAAGAAAAGTACTTTTTATCTTAACATAAAAATCACTTTCACTCGGCGCATTCAACACTCTTTTTTTCCTTATATTCACAAACAAACCTTTAATAAAAATACTTAATTAAAAATCTGATTTTTTTGTATACATAAAACTTGTAATGTTTACTGAGAGCTTGCCAAATCTCATGAAGATACACAAACCGATCGACTTACCCTACATGGAAAGAGTTAAAGAAAAAGGATATTTCTCCATATATATTCATTGATTTATTTATGTACGCTTCTTGCTCCATTACTGAAGACTAAGTAAAAGTGTTACAGAATTATCTCCTAGTAAAAATACTAATACAGCCAAAGAGATACCTAACAATTTAAAAAATTACATAAGAAATTATTTCATGAGCCAAATAGATTCAAAGAGAATCAAATCAAATTCGTGGCAGGAGTTTAGGTTTAGAAAATCTTTCAAGCCTCGAAAAAGATTTTGGGGCATGAAAAACAACCTGGGGTGGTGAGAAACTTTTGCTTCTCTTCACTCTGCACGGTGAAAAGATTAATACCAAACGAATTTTGATAGAGCCACTGGGCACATAGAAAATTGGATTTTTGAAAAATGTGCCGAATATTCTACCTGACTTGTGCCCGAGATGTGAAAGTGAAAAAGAAACAATTGATTAATACATGTATGCTAAACACTCCTTAATATAATTGAATGGAAAGATGTATGTTTGCCATGTAGAAGGTGTGGCTGCCAGGATGAGAAAGGTGCTTGTTTGGCCGTTTCTGCTGTGAACTTTGTTTGTAGTATTTTTGACCTAGAGTATTAATGCGACCCTTAATGAGAGGTAGGTCAGTGAAGTTGTTAACATAAATTTGTGGGGTGTATTTTTGGAGGCAGAATGCTGTTTTGATAGCAGTGAGCTATTGCTGTTGGATCTTTCTGTATATTATGTTGGGCATATTACATGTAATGGGGCATCCATATTCATATAGAAGTGTGATGTAGGCTTTGTAAATTTTAATGATTGGGTGGCTGTTACAGAATTTGTTCATACCCCCAATCTGGCAGATGAATTTCAGTTAATGCTTTTTATCTTGAGAATACTATTGTAGTGAATGGTCCATGGTAGGCGTGAGTTTACCATGATTCCTAAAAATTTGGCAGCTGTTTTAAAGGTGATGGGGGTGTTGTATAATGTAAGTTTGATTTGTATAATTTTTTGTATTGTCTTCCTATTTTCCTTTGAAATGCTACTGCCAGTGTCTTGATTGGATTGAGAAGTACTCTCCATTTCTTACACCATTTAATAAATTTATTTAATACATCCTGGACTCTGGACGCGGCAGTGAGTGGATCTTGTGATGTGCTCCAGACACCAATAGCATATTGAGAGATAAGGGTGTATATTAGCTGTGGGAGCAGTATGTCATTTATGAATGGAATGTAGAGTAGTGGGCTGAGGACAGAGCTCTGGTGGACTCTTGCTTTTAGTGGGAATGTGTTGGACACACTGTTATTGATTTAAATTTTAGCAATTCAATTAGTGATAATGCTAGAGAGCTATCTGGTGATGGGAATAGGGATCTTGTTTTTAGTTAACTTATACTTTAGGGCATTATACCCAACAGTATCGAATGCTTGCTTTACATCTAAAAGGGTTGCGACTGTGGAGTGATTGCAGTTAAACCCTTGGTGTATAGATTCGACTAATCTTACTAGGTGATCAGTTGTTTGTCTGCATTTTCTGCTCGCATTTTGGTTATTGTTGTGGCTGTTATTCCTTTCTAAGTAACGTAGCAGTCTGTTGGATACGACTTTTTCCATAATTTACCTAATACGTTTAGAAGGCTTATAGGTCTATAGCTGTTTGGTAGGCTGGGATCTGTGTTTTTTTTTAGGATAACGTTTATAATCTTGGACTTCCAAGTTGATGAATAATATCCAGGAAATATCCAGTTTGCCCCTGAAGAAAGGTCCACCTTTCGAAAGTGCTCCGGTTATAGGGTTTTTATTCATTTCAGAAAATAAAGATATATTGTATACGGAGGCTAAATGTTTTGTATGTTATCAGAAAAGTTTTTGTTGAATGTGTTGTTGCTCCCATTTTCACATGAAGCTGTGGGTTTGAGTGTTTTAAGGATGATTTTTATTTCTTTGAGAGAGATAGAGCATGTGTAATAGTCTTGGTGTTCGTATAACTGGGATAGATCTACTGGGAATGATGGGTTAAAAGTAGTGTGATTGATGTTAATTTGATTATTGATAGTGTTAAAGTGTTGGCTATTAAAATTAGAGTGGTTTGGTTTGGTGAAAGTGTCAGTATAGAAATATGCGAACAGGTTGGCTTTTTCGTCATCAGTGTGTGCTACAGAATTATTGTAAGTTATGTTAGTGTTTATATTGTTTGTAGTGTTGTTGCAGACCTTTTTAAACTTACACCAGAAAAGTGCTGGGTTAGATTTGTAAAAATTGGTCTACTTAATCAGGTATCATTAAATACAACAAAAGTATCATCAACATATCTTTGATAATATAACAACTCAAACCTTGACAGACAATTCACCAACCATTGCAATTCCATAAGTTTGATCATAAAATCGGTAGAATGTAGTGCTTAGGAATCTCATTTTCTGTGTGATAGAAACACGCGAACTTATTTGTCTTCCTTGTGGTATACAAGATAAGTTGTTAGTTGTAAAGTTTCTTCTAAAGGAATATTTGTGTACAAAGGTTCTACATGAAACCTTGCACAATAAACATTGTCATCAAACATTAAGTTTTCATTGGAAAATTATTTGCAACTGTCTTTAATAGTAAATTAATTATGTGTATCTTGCTTCAAAAACTTTACCAAAAAAAACAAAACAATAGCCAATACATGATTATATGTATTTAATAAACTGCAGATTTGATGGAATATTCTTTCTTACATCCTATAGGAATACCAAATGAAACACTAGGGTTTTTATGTGATGGCCTAACCTTTAAATATGCTTGCTAATTTTAAATTTGTCTACTTATTTAAAATTCATATAAAATAATTTTGCTATTTTATTTCTCTCATTTTGCAGATTCTTTTTTCAGCTTTACAAACTTTGTATGATCATTAAAAATGTTTTTAAACTTATAAATATAATTATTTTATTTGAAACAGTTACAGCATAATATCTAGTTGCGATATAAACGTATAGCCATTTTTACTAAGATTATATGGTTTAAACTCAAAGTTACAATCTTTAAACGATGATAAAGATATTCTATTTTCTATGTCCACATGCTATCAAAGGCTTCATTACTGCCAGATCATATTTCCTCTTAAGAAACTTGTAATAACTATTCAAAAGGCAACAAATAATTTTCAAACTTCAATTACAAACTTTAGAGTATGAAGTAATGGTTTCTTTTCTGTCTTATTCAAAAGGTACTGTCAAATTAAATGAGATCTGTGATTAAAGAAAGTATTATTTATCTGACCTTGTGTTAGGTGTTCCAATTTATTCAGTCGTTTTAGTCTAATTTTAATTAACATTTTATTAACCTGTGTATAACGTTTATGAGGTTTTAGCCTTACACACCCAAGAAAATAAATTTTACATAATCTGAAATGAATTCAAGATCATGGGTAATGAGAGAAATATTAAATAAAAAACAAAGGACAAATAAATGTGATTTTCCTTCAGGCATTAACCTGAAAAATGGACAGTTTCTATTGAATATTGTTTGGAATTAACAAAAGGAAATTATATTTAAAGTGTTATCAAAATTGAAAATTATTATACATTCTGTAGAATTGAATATGTTGTGTAATACGAATAAATTTATTCAAATTGTGACTTAAAAAAAGTTTACTATTATTAGCTTGCTATTTAATAATACTCATTTTGTACATTACTTCTCTAAATCTAATTCACTAATAAATTAATTGTTTATCTAGTTATTATATCTCCATTAGATGACAAAGGTTGTTATGTTGTTAGGCAGTATTGTGATGTCTGTACTTCTTTACTCCTAATTTTATTTTTGTATTGTTCAATGAAGTTTAAAAAGCTTCCCATGCACTTTGTAATTATATAGTTTATACTTTTGTTTATATATTTCCAATACTGTATAAATATACATCATAAAAAAACTCGTTTTGACTCAGAACTGGGGGTCTCCTTAACTTCCAAGACTACATTTTATGACCTTACAAATTTTAATGGTGGTGGAATGCATCAGACTGAATCTCAGTGTGAGAATTATGACATCTATTTTTTAAAAAATTTATTCAAGTGAAAATCAAGAAATTTATGATAAATTATGAAAACCCTTATACACGTGTTAGCTTTAGCTTTACGTATTGTGCTTGTTAATTGGAACATCTGCCCCTTTATTCTCCTGAAGAAGAATAGTCAACTATTCGAAAGTGCTCAGGTTTTGGGTCTTATTTTAAGTCTATTATACTTTATATGTGATCCTTTGTGCTAACTCTTTTATCAAAATTGACAAAGATATCAGTGTTCAACTTTTTTTTTATATAAGTTTGCTTGCAGTGTATAAATTTCAATAATTGAACAAAAAATTAAAAAGGTATGTCAAAAATTTAATAATCTTGAAACATGCAGCAAACAACAATAGTTATCATTCACTTCATCGTTGATACTACAAAAAGCGATCAACAGTAGAGTTATGGTAGCAAAATGTCCAAAATCTTTGGGACAGACTATAAACCTTCTGTAAATTTTGAGGACCATAAGTGTGTGTATATATGTATGTGTGTGTGTGTGTGTGTG